CTCTCTCTCTCTCTCTCTCTCTCTCTCTCTCTCTCTCTCTCTCTCTCTCTCTCTCTCTCTCATTTCTTAATGTCGAAATGGCATCACACCGTTGAGTTTTCTGAACTCAACAACGGTAGGTGGGACCAGACCCCCGGACTTCGTGGTTAGAGGTTTCAAAAAAAAAAAATAATGGTAAAAATTTTAAAAATCCACGGGATTCAACTCGAATTCAACCCGAATTCAATGGGATTCAACGGGATTCAACGGGAATTCAACGGGATTCAACGGGATATAACGGGATGAATTTTTTTTTTTGCTTCACGCGCACTCAACGACGTGTCCGAGGCCCGATGCGCTCTCCCCGTTGAACCGTATTCAGCGGGCAGGACCCGTTGTACTATTCAACGGGGATTCAACTGGGGCCCAAGGGCTATGCAAGGGGTACAACGGAGTTGAAACTTTTCCGTTGCACGTTGAATGGACACATAATTGACTATCTATTTCTACCGAGCTTTGTTGTGTTCCTATGTTTTGTTCCTCCATCTCTTTGAGTGGAATGTCTGTCTCCCACTCGATCAGAGAGGATTTTGGTTTTGGTGTCGTTTCTTCTTCTCATTCATTATTAACTTTGGGAAATTTCCTCTCCCCTGTAATCAGGGAGATGACTTCTACCACCCTCACTCCTCTTCCCTTACCTTTCCCGTTTGTAGTCTCTGGTTTGGGCGAGCTTTGTACATGAACCATCAGGGCTACTGAGTCCTGATCCTGTATCCGCTGGTTGTCTGCTCCTTGCTCTCTCTGTGCTTGGCACAGAGGAGTGACTGATACCAGATCCTGTACCAGCGGGCCATCTGTAACCTGCTGTGAAAAAATCGAGAATTTCCTGTTTCTACTCACTAGTTTGGACGAGCTCTGTTCAAGAACCATCAGGGCGACTGAGCCTTGGTCCTGTGTCATCTAGCTATTTACTCACTGCTCTCTCTGTCCTTGCTACAGAGGAGTGGCAAATACCTGATCCTGTACCAGCGGGCCCTCTGTAACCTGCTCTGAAAAAGTTGACAGCTTCCTTTCCTGCTGTTGGTAAGGGACAATTGCCATGGTTTTATTATTTTCCGGTCCATGACTGTTTGTGAAGGAACAGGGATAATGTCGCCCTGTTGTTCGAAAGGAGTGATGACCATATCATGGTTTAGACCCTCAGTGGCCCCTCGGACCAGAAGGTCTGCAGCAAGCGCTGAGACTTCACGAGAGTGACTAGATTTTTCCTTTCTTTGGTGAAGTTCAGCAATCGGTGGACTCTGGCTTCCTTTATAGGCCATTTTGTTTGGCCTTCTTTGGCCATTGGTCCTAATGTTCTGCTTTCCAGATTTGGGTGCGAGAGGGAGACGTCGCAGTATCTCTGTATAATTACAATTTTTTTTCAAAATCTTTCTTCTCTCTCCATTCTCAATTTTGTGTAGTTGTTGTTTATCCTTTAAGGATCTTGTCCTTCTAGCCAGTTCCTTGATCCTTTTAATCCCTTTGGTTATCAACATGTTTGGTGTGTGCATATTAAGTTGTTGGACCGAAGGACTTGCAGGATTCTGGACTACAGTCGAGGTGAGTTGTGCCATCAACCTCTGGTTGACAATATGCAGCAATCTGTTACACATGTCATTCCAGTCCGCACAAGGGGTGAGGCCATATTGGAGTGCAGTTTTGAGACTGTCACTACCACACAACAATTGAGAGAGATTTTCTTCAATTACACTCCATTCTGAATCTGGTATAGCGTTATACTTGAATTTGAGGTTTGTTGTAACCCACATTACCATTTTCCGTAAACTGATCTGTAGGTCTCCCAACGTGTCAAGAGAATCAGTTTTCATTCCCATTACCTCAAAAGGGGAGGCAGTTACCGGTGCTGCTTCCACCTCCATCCTATCTTCTGCAAATACTTCTTTGAGAGTGTCCAGTTCCATGGTGTCAGTGTGTATCACAAAAGGTTCAGCAGGTGTGGAATGAGGGTGCTGAATTACCTGCTGATCCTGTTGAATGTCCTGGGCCCCTTGTTGAGAGGACAGATCATGGGGACTCTGTTGAACTTGACTGTCCAGTTGTTGGACTTGATTTCCCGAATTGGATGGGCCTGCTGATTTATTATTGTTCTTTTTCTTTACTTCTTTCCATTCCAAATTGGGGTGCTGGTCCTTCTTGGGTAAGTATGCATCAGGGGATGGACAAGGACCCTTGCAAGGTGCTTTGTGTTGCCCAGGGACCTCTTCCATTTGACTCGATTTTTGCCTAATATTGGATGATTCACTGGGTTCCAAACATTGACTCATCTGATTTAACTCTGAGTGCGACTCACCCGAGTCACTGGTCGGCTGTGTGATACCTTCCTGGTTCATTGTTTTAGCATAACTCCCCTGAGGAATCAGAGTTTGTGAATTTTGGTTATTTTTGCTGATGTGATCTTACTGTTTGTTGTGGTGAGTCTGCTGTGTGAACTGATGGTTATGTTGCGGAGGGATCCAATCCAACGACGGGCGCTGGGTTTTGTGTTGATCACCTCTTCCTTCCCAATACCATCCTATTGGCGACCCTTTGGGGCTCATCTCGTCACTTTATGCCCAACCTTCGTATCCCGAAACTGCTGGGATCCAACGATGCGGATGTTGGGGATTTCTCTTGAGTTTCTGTTCCGGATGAATGGCGTCCAAATTCACTCGTTCAATCCAGTCCTCTTTGCT